GTTCTTCTGAATATAATGCCAAATTTTTATGTTAATAGAGTGTATATGTTATTTTAATCTGATGTTCAAGACATTTCCAATTCCTTCATGGAAATTCTTTTATCTAATAATAACTCCTCGAATTGGCACCATTGTCTCCGTTGAAATTATGGATGTTAAAATGGGCCTGACCGAAGACATGTTCCTTCAGTAAAAACCGGTTAACAATGACGATAAAATCATCAAAATACCAAATATAGGGAGGTGTCATTATATGGGGGTTATACGATGATGTGGACCTGCATACGCGATTTTTTGTAATAGGCTGTGGTGCCTACTACGAACATTAAATACGAAAATTGGAACTATTCCGGTAAAAACATATTTGAAAACATTAAAATACCGAATAGAGGGAGGTACCGTTATGTGGGGATGTATGAAAACGTGGTACTTAGAATTTAAGGCTGAGTATTTCGAGGATTTACAAACGGAATAACAAAGTTAATATACACTCCATAGAATGGTGGAGAGTATAAAAAGAGCATCTAGGTATTATTTGTTGAAAACATGATTTGTGTTAAGTATTTTTATTGGACTTTCAACGTTACTTGCAATGACAACCACGTATCATTTGCATTACTAGTATACCGAAAACAGCTCTTGCATTACCATTAAGCCGAAAAATAATGAGTATACCAACTAATGACAAACGGCGTCACAGGATAACCACGTTCTACTAAAAACCTTATTTCGATATTTCCTATCTCTTCCAAACAATGATGAAATTGTTCGCAGCAGTGGCCGACTAGCAATCAGAAGATCGCAAGTTCAACTCCTTCATTAGCCAAACAAAATAATAAGACAATTAAGTAAAAAAGCTACTAAGTTCGACGGGGTCTATTAACTATTAATATTATTAATATCCTCTATCATTTGGGAGGCGCTTTCAAAATGTAAAAAAATCCTTGGAGAAAATCCTTAAAAATTTAAAACATTTCGAATGTCAGATGTTACACTGTGCTATACCAAACGTGAGGGTGCCTAATACAATCTCCAAATTAAGCTAAAATCCTCAAAATACTGAATATCGAGAGGTAGCTTTATATGGTAGATATACGAGAGCCTTGACGTGTACTGGAAATTTTCTACCATAGGAAATAGCACCCATTGCGAACTCTAAATTCTGAGTTTGAAATAATTCTGTGAAAAGTGTGGCTAAAATCATCAAAATGTCGAACAATACCATTGTATGAGCGTATACAAAAATTTGGACATGTATGAGTCATTTTCTGTCATGGGAGATAGTACTCATTAAGAACACCAAAAATGAAACAATTTCATGTGTGACTCTTCCTAAATGTCCTATAATAATTATCTAATATTAACTATCGTTTCATATGAATTCGATGGAAAATGTGTTTTTGGGCTTCCTAAAACTAATTGCAATTTCTGTTTCATATAACATGAAACTAACTACTTGTCGTCCATAATGATAGAATGGGGAGGAGAAAAAATAAATAAACTATTTCCCTGGAATAAATCGGATTTTGATGTCAGATCTATAACTGTCAGAAATTAACCAAAGAAAGGAATATCTCAACTCCGCAATACTGATTTTAACATCCATAATTTCAACGGAGACAATGGTGCCAATTCGAGGAGTTATTATTAGATAATTATTATAGGACATTTAGGAAAAGTCACACATGAACAGAAATATGTAGGAGACATTTCGAAAATAATTTTACTTATTTATTGAGTTTTTTTCTGACGAAAATCTGCAAGGCATAAATTTGGACTTTCCATATGACAAAGTATGTGAAATTCAGCCTATTTATTTTGAGTAAGAGCCAATAAATAAGTTCAAGAAAGTAGTTGTCCCAGGTTTACAACGCTAGAGTTCAATTTGCGTTTAATTTTTTTTTCACAATTTATTTTAATACCATTCACCATAGCATGGAGGAAAAGTTGATAATATTTTAATCAGATGTATTTTAGGTCTGCAGGATTGTACTGGTAGATTTAAGGTCTTTTGGCTGTTTTAGTCAGAATTGTATGCTGAATAAGCTGTAAATTGGCAATGTGTGTTCCTGGTATGTAGGCAATGTCCCTGCATCGAACTGTCAGTATTGGTCTAGGTTTTGGTATTGTCCCCATATAACAGTACCTCCATAAATTCGGTATTTTAACTATTTGTGTCACACATTTTACTGAAATTGTTTCATTTTTAGTGTTCTTAATGAGTATGACAGAAAAATACTCATACATGTCCAAATCTTTATATACGCTCATATAATGGTATTGTTCGACATTTTGATGATTTTAGCCACACTTTTCACAGAATTATTTCAAACTCGGAATTTAGAGTTCGCAATGGGTGCTATTTCCTATGATAGAAAATTTCCAGTACATATCAAGGCTCTCGTACATTAACCATATACAGCTACCTCTCGATATTCAGTATTTTGAGGATTTTAGCTTAATTTGGAGATTGTAATAGGTACCCTTTCTATGGCAGATAACTGGCTTTAGAAGTCCACGTTTCGTATAGCACAGTGTAACATCTGACATTCGAAATGATTTAAATTTTAAGGATTTTCTCCAAGGATTTTTTTACATTTTGAAAGCGCCTCCCAAATGATAGAGGATATTAATAATATTAATAGTTAATAGACCCCGTCGAACTTAGTAGCTTTTTTAATTATTTGTCTTATTATTTTGTTTGTCTAATGAAGAAGTTGAACTTGCAATCTTCTGATTGCTAGTCGGCCACTGCTGCGAAAAAATTCATCATTTTTTGAAAGACATTGGAATTATCGAACTAAGGTTTAAAGTCGGACGTTGTTATCCTGTGACGCCGTTAGTCATCAGTTGGTATACTCATTATTTTTCAGCAACGTTACAAGTAACGTTGAAAGTCCAATAAAATTACTTAACACAAATCATGTTTTCAACAAATAATACCTATATGCTGTTTTATACTCTCCACCTCTCCCTATGAAGTGTATATTACCTTTGTTATTCCATTTGTAAATCCTCGAAATACTCAGCCTAAAATTCTAAGTACCTCTTTTTCATATATTTGATGATTTTAGATACATTCTTACCGGAATTGTTTCAATTTTCGTATTTAAAGTTCGTAGTAAGTACCACAGCCTATTACAAAAAAACGCGTATGCAGGTTCACATCTTCGTATAGCCCCCATAAAATGACACCTCCCCATATTCGGTATTTTGATGATTTTAGCGAGATTGTTAACCGGAATTATTTCAAAATTTGTAGTTGAAATTTGTAATGGGTACTCCGCCTATAACAAAATATTTTTAATGACAAAAAGTTTTTAATGAAGGAACATGTCTTTGGTCAGGCCGAACTTAGCTGCTTTTTTATACCCTCCACCATAGTATGGAGGGTATATTAAGTTTGTCATTCCGATTGTAACACCTCGAAATATGCATTTTAGACCCCACAAAGTATATATATTCTTGATCAGCATAAAATTCTATGTCGATTTAATATTGTCCATCCGTCTGTGGAAACCACTCTAGCTTCCGAACTAAATGAAGTAAGTGATAAAAATGTACTCAAATGTGCATAATATCTGCAGGACTTTTGGTATTGAAAATGGGTCATGTGAAGGATGTGGACCTAACATCTTCGTATTGCCCCCATATAACGGTACCTCCCGATATGCGGTTTTTTGATTATTTAAGCGACATTATTTAACGGAATTGTTTCAAAATTGGTATTTGAAGTTTGTAGTGGATACTACAGCCTAAAACAGAGATTGGACCATGTAGGTCCACGTGTTCGTATAGCTCCCATATAACAGTACCTCCCGATATTTGGTATTTTAATGATTTCAGCGACATTATTCACCGGAAATCTTTAAAATTAGGTATTGGAATTTCGTAATGGGTACTACAGCCTGACACAGAAAATTGTCTGTGCAGATCCAGAATTTACAGAATTTTATAGATTTTTTAATAGATTTGAATTTTTTGAAAATTGCCTAATATCTACCAAATGGTGGAGGGCATTTAAAGTTTGTGGCTTGCTCTACACCATACATTTAAAATTACCAATCTAGGGTTTTTATTTTGCGATACCCTGATATAGGATCACTCTATACAGATGTGCCAAGCCCAATTATCTAAATTGCTCATAAATTTTCGAGATTTCAAAAAAAAATTAACTTAGAAACCCCCTTTCCTAACCGAACCAATTTCAATCTAAGGTTTTAAGGATACCAACCCACGCATCTTTCTGTAAAATAATTTTCTCAAGGTACCGCGTCGATTTTATACCAGATTCCTTTCTGTTTACATCCATTGTGAAGTCCAACTAATTCAAGATCAAATCGAAACGATAAATAAATGGCCAATATGTTCAACGAAAATAGAAATGCAAAAACTTGCGTCATAAAATCAATCAACATAAGACCCAATTGTATTGTACCCTCTTTGCCCCCCACTCGGCAAATAATAAATATTCGAAATAAAAACAACAAGAATTTTGTTTAACTCAAAACTTTAATAAATTTATTATTCACATTGGTTTTTTTGTTTTGTTTTCTGTTTCTTATTTTTCGTTTGTTTGTTTTAAATTAACAAATACAAGAATGCTTAGTTTAACTAAAATGCATTTAATTCATAGTTTAATAGGTTTCTTTTTTAGGGTTTTACTTCGTTTTTAATAGCGTTTCTAAGGTTTTCAGGGTTTTTCTTAATTTCTTGTAATTCGATTTCAGTTTTCTGGTTTTTGTTTTGTTTTTACAAATACATCACTTTTTTGTTGTTGTAGATGCCTTAAAATTAAATTACATTAATAATAATATACGAAATACGAAAGAGAATAGATAGGTAGATAGATAGAGTTAATAGAGCGAGTAGAGAGATAGATAGAAAGCGAAACTGTATGTGTAGTTGTGGCTGTGAGTGTTTTTTTGTTTTTTCTTTTCTTGGGAGTATGGGGCTGGGTGGGGTGGTATGGCGTAGGTGCAGCTAATTTAACTTACCACCACTATACTCCAACGTTTACAGAGTCTACGTAAAGCCCTTTTATAGCATCACGGTTTTATTTTCCAAAAGTTCTTTTTTGGTTTAGCACCCGTCGCTGAGGAATCAGAAGCGGAACGGCCCGATGCCCTCTGAATGTCGGCACAGCAGCGATTATAGTGGAAGGGCGATGCTGGCGAGGTGACAGCTGTTCCACAGCTACCCAATGAGGTCATCATTGCAATGCCCTGATCTTCGGAAGTGCTACTTTTGGAAGTCGACGAACCGGATGCCGTTGACGATCGACAGCTACGCATGTTGTGGGGTAAAGTGGTGGGATGTTGCTGTTGGGCCTGCTGCTGCTGTTGTTGTTGCATTTGCGTCTGATGCTGATGGTGCAGCTGCACCTGATGGTGATGCATGGTGTGATGGGGATGGTGATTGGGTGTATGGCCGGACTTGTAGTAACGCAGACTTTCATTGTAACTGGCACCGCTACTGCTGCCACTGCCACTGAAGCCGCTGTCCAGATCGCCTTCGTCGAATTCGGGATTTATACACGACAGATGGGCATGATCTTTCAGTTCGATTGAGTTAAAAGTCGAGGAAAGATTTTCTAGGCTGGCGTGTGACAAGGTACGCGGCTGCGAAGAAGACACTGTGGACGATGAGGTGGATGCGGCACCACCCAGTAGGCCACCCCGGCGCGGCTTTTGGGCTGTTGCTGTGGGTGTTGCCAAAACGGCGGCAGTATTCGCACTGACCGCACTAGCTTCGGGTACTTCAACATTTGGACTGACATCGGGTGGTGTTTCGGGCATTATCAATGCCTCCAACGATAGATTTAGCTCATCCAAAACCCGAAAATGATTGTGCTGTACCCGACGTATCTCTTCAATGACATTCGACTTGACAATGCGATTATCGGAAAGGACTTTGCGTATTTTCTGATCATTGACTTCTTCGTAGAGATTTTCCGTTGTGCCATAGCGTGTTGTGTAGTTGTGACGTTCTTCGGCTCCACTGGGCGACGATGAAGTTGAGGGAGGATTTTTGGGTTTCGAACGAAAACTTCGCGCCAAAAGGGCACGTATTGAATTGCGGGTAGGGCTTTTTGAGGGTCCAACAGCAGCAGCAGCGCCAATGCCTGTAGCACTGACACCAGACGCCGCCGCTGCTGCTCCACCAGCTGCCTGTGCCAGCGGAGCTGGCATAATGGCAGCAGCACCGGCAATCGGTTCCTCCTTTTGTGGTATATTCGTATGACACTTAATAGCACCGGGTTCGTAATAAGCGTACGAATAGACATGATTATAGGGTGCCGTCTGAGACGTAGCGGCAGTGGCACCTTGAAATGTTTGTGAGGGAGCGGGTGAAATTTGATGTTGCGAGTGGTGAGATGGCGTTGATGATGGTGTTACAACACTGGCGGCAAAACCATATTCCAACGACGATGTGGAGGAGGACGAATGATGTTGTGTTGGTTCGAAACGTTCCATTGTGGCGGCTATATTGTTGCGAGACCATTTGACCTGCAACGGGGAAGAAAGAAAAAAATAGAAAAGGGTTATTTTATTGTTTTACTCAATTTGTTAACTATTGAAACAGTTGCTATCTAGAGGCTAGTTTATACATCATATGTATAGCGACTTTTTCAATTTATATGAACAATTTCTATTGCATACTTTTAGTCGCTCCCACAAACCTTTGGTTTATAAATCCTACACAATATCAAAGACTATCATTTCAAATTTCAGATTTCCAGCTCTATTCCTGCCCTAAATGCCAAATATAGTACCATTTAGTACTTTTGCTACTTTTTGAAAGGGTTTCAGAATTCATTTCCATATATCAATCCCACTTCAAAAAAAAAAAGCGACCCTAATACCAAATTTCAGATTCCCAGCTCTATTTCCCCGCATATACCAAATTTGGTACCATTTAGTACTTTTCGAACTTCTTGGTACATATTTCCAAAACCACTTTCTAATCTCAACCCTAAACACTGACAGTTTTTGAAAGGGTTTCAGAATTCATTTCCATATATCAATCCCACTTCAAAAAAAAAAGCGACCCTAATACCAAATTTCAGATTCCCAGCTCTATTTCCCCGCATATACCAAATTTGGTACCATTTAGTACTTTTCGAACTTCTTGGTACATATTTCCAAAACCACTTTCTAATCTCAACCCTAAACACTAACAGTTTGGCCCAAATATCAACATTTTAAATGTCCAACATCATCCCAAATCCAAAGTGTACCAAATTTAGTACCACTTAGTACAGTTCTTACACTTAGTACACATTTCCAGAACCAACTCTCCAATTTGTTTCTTATACTTTACTTCATTTGGTTCAATCCTACACAACATCAAAGATCCTCATTCCAATTTTCAGTTTTCCAGCTCTATCTCTTCCCTTGCAGCTCGTTTCGTTCATAAGATACAATTTGGTATTTTTTGAACTTTTTAGTACATATTTCCAAAATGGCCTTCAAATCTCAATCCTATACACTAACAGTGTAACTTCAATACCAACATTTTAAATTTTCAGGTCCATCCCAAATCCAAATTGTACCAAATTTAGTACCATTTAGTGCAGTTCTTACACCTAGTAAGAAATTAAAAAAACTACCTCCTTATATCAGTCCTAAAGTGACCCTAATACCATATTTCAGATTTCGAGCTCTATTCCCTTCAAATATACTAAAGTACCATTTAGTACTTTTCGTCCACATTTAGTACTTTTTAGTCCACATTTCCAGAACTATTTTCAAATCTCAAGCCTACATAATAACAGTGACCCCAATATCAATATTTCAAAAGTCCAGTTTCATCTGTTAATTCAAAGCCAAATTGTACCAAATTTAGTGCCCTTACCAAATTGCACTAAATTTAGTACCGTTTCATAAACCACCTCCTAGATCACCAACTTAATTCCTATAACAAATGTTAACATTGTAGCTCTATCCGTTCATACAATTCCAAATGGCACCAAATATTGTACTTTTTAGTACTTTTAGTACACTTTTAGATCGAATTTAAAAAGAACCCTTTGGGACATCCTACACCCCATCCTTGACCTTTATCCAAAAATACATATTTCTACCTCTATCAGTTTGGCCAATACAATGGATTCACTTTTTAGTACCTTTTAGTACTTTTTTGTACACTTATGAAATTAATTGTATAATATGTCCGTCTCCTGGTTCTAGGCTACCTCCTTATCAATTTTCGGCTATATCGGCCAAGACTTTATTGAGGTATAAAGAGTATAGTTCTATCTTAGTACTTTTGGTACACTTTTAGTTCGAATTTTAAAAAAGAAAATGTGCATCTGCCTTACACCACATCAGCGACCTTCATGCCAAATTTCATAGTTCTACCTCCAACCGTTTGATCAATACCATTGATGCAATTTTTAATAACTTTTGGTACCTTTAGTACATTTAAGGAATAAATTGTACCCTATGCCCTCTCCTGGCTCTAAGCTACCTCCTCAACATTCTCCTATTTATTTATTATTATTATTATTATTTATATTTATTTCTATTTTTGTTTTTTTTTTTTTTTTGGAAAATTTCCATTAGATATTGCGTTAAAATTCCCCCTCACCTGATGTTCAACATCCATTTTGTGATTGCTGCGCCGGCTGTGACCCCTCCTTCGGCGTTCCGCAAACGCCTCGCCAGTACACAGGCCATTCTTCCCGTGTGTCAACAGCAGTTCACTACTAATGCCATGACCAATGCCATTCGATGAGCCCGGCTGCGGTGGCATACAAAATTCAATGGTGTCCGATTCATCGGGAAATATCAAATCACCGCGATGATGGCCCAGACTGCCCGCACCCACCGCTGATATCATACCACTTGTCATGGTATTAGAATTGACCATATGTTGACCGCGGGATGAGGATGCCGAACGTTTTTTCATGCTCGCTGTGGCGTTCATATTTCGACCAGAATGCCGACCAGCCATTGAGTGAAAATGATTGGCAGCCATTTGTTGTTGCAATTGATGCTGTTGATGCATGGCCTGCTGTTGCATCGCTTGCTGTTGTTGCTGGTGGTGGTGTTGTTGTTGCTGCTGCTGTTGATGATGTAAATGTACTGGAGCTACCTGATCCTGGCTGTGGGGATAATCAGTGGGCGGTGTAAATCCGCTGAAGGGTGGCGATGAGGGTCGCGATTGAAATTTTGGCGCTCCGCTCGTTAACATGGCGTTGTGATGCATTGCCATGTTAGCCAGTTTGAAGGAGTTGCTGTGTGGTACAGCAACAGGGTTTTCGTTATTCGAACAAAAAAAGGATAAAATATTTTTCGGTTTTCGGTTGTGTGGTGTGTTGTTGCTTTCCAAACAAAGACTTATAATCAACAACCACTTGACATTATTTTGGTATTGGGTATTGAATGTCAAGTGTGGGATTTCCTGTCAACGTTCCAATATTATATCCATCCACTTGTTATGTAAACTGCAAAAAAAATCGAAAAATAAATTAGAAAAATTAGTTTATGTAAAATATACAAAATTTAGTTTTAAGGCATAAATAAGACCTGCTTTGACTGGAGGGGAAGTGTGTTTGCCACTTAAAATTCTTATCTTAATGGGTGCTCATATTTTCATGTTTGCCTAGGATTTCTCCATCTTGTATGTCATTAAATGAAACATATACAGACATATATTATTATTGTTGTTATTATTATTTTCCTTATCTTGTTTGTCAGATTTTCTTGAGCCTTGTCAATTTAGTTTATTAAAAATTTGAAATATTGTACAAGGGTTTTTTTTTTATTTTTGAAATTTTTGAAATTTTTAAAATATGAAAAGATGTTAAGAGGTTTTTATGGGTTGCAATGGGAAGGGATGCTTTTTAGGAGCATATTTTTAGGATTTATATTTTTAGGGAGTAAAGACACAAATGTATAAATTTCACGTTCATTTAATTTAAGATTTGAAGATATTTTTGTACCATTTAGTACTTTTTGAAGTTTTTAGTATATATTTCCAAAACTATCTTCAAATCTCAACCGTACACACAATATCAACAGTTCAAATTTACAGCTCCATCAGTTCTGTCAATTCCAAATTGTACCAAATTTAGTACAATTTATGAGTCAAATTTCAGAAACTTTATTTACAATATGAAAATATTTTTGATTCCTATTATTACATATTATATTATTTATATACAGGGTGAGATAAAAACAAAAAACTGCAACAAAGTCAAACGCCATAATTTTTACATGTTTTTAAATTTTATTAAATGAAGGCAAAAATTGTTTTAGAATACGTTTGGATTTGTTGGAATTGGTACCCTTTGGCACGAATTATGGCCTTCAAACGGCCAATGAAAGCGTCACACGCTGGCCGAATGTTGCTCTGCGGTATTTTGGCCCATTCCCGGCGAAGCGCTTACTTGAGGTGATCGACACGGTGGTATTGCTTTCCAAAATAGTCCAGGTATAATAGACCAACGGATTGGTATCCGGAGATTTTGGTGGCCATTGTGCGCTGGAAATGAAGCGAGGAACCTAATTTTGTAAACATTCTAGGGTGGCGCGTGCTGAGTGCGATGGTGCTGAGTCCTCTTGTAATGTCCAAGGTCTGCGGCCGAAATGTTTGCGTGCCTAAGGCTTTAATACACCCTCCAGAATATTTTCATGATAATAATCGGCATTTATTCTGATGCCACGGTCGATAAATACGAGCGGAGAGCGACCATCGGCAGTTATGGCGGCCCAGACCATCACCACGGCCGGCGTTTGAGTTGAGTGAGTGCCCAACTGAAGGTGCACATTTTCAGCTGACCTCGTTGGCAAGTAGACACGATCACTTTGTTTGTTTACAAACTGCTGGACAACGAATGTTTTTTCATCGGAGAAAACCAAATTCGTCAGTTCACAACTTTCGGTCAAGCGAAGCAATTCTTTAGCTCTTTTTAGTCTATTTCCTTTCTGTTGTGGTCTAAGTTCTTGCACTTTTTGGAATGTCAATGGCTTTACCCCTAGTTCATTTTTCAATATTTACCGAATTGAATATTGCGATGTGTTCAGCTCACGAGTCATTCTTCGGCCACTGCGACGCGGGTTTCGATCAAGTCGCTTCTTTACTTTCCGAAGCATTTTTGCTGATGCAGTCCACTTGACGTTATCAGTATCATGGTAACGAGCGATGGTACGAGACACAAAAGATTTATTCACATTTAAATGCTAGAGTGCTCTAACTATAGCCACTTGTCGTTTTCCAACCAAATATAAAGAAATCATACTATCACACTTGAATTCCATCACGAATAAGTTTTTTTTTTTTCTGGATAATTCTCACCAAAATGCTTTTGTGCGCCTGTGCGCAACTTAATGAGCTGTCACTGAAATAATTTTAACAGCTATGTGACGAGTGGCTTAGAAATGACAGCAGTCTGAATTTGGTTGCAGTTTTTTTCATCTCACCCTGTATTAAATTTATTTATTTATTTATTTTTTGTTAAAATGTATATGGGTATATATCCCCCAACATTTGACATGTCATCTCTAGTTGTGACATTTTTTTGGGCAATTTATGTACCTTCCACTATCTTAACTTTGCATGTGTCAAATGCCAATATACAAGCAAGTCATTTTTACAGACATACATATGTATGTAAATCATCTCAACAATATCAAGAAAAAGTGTTAAATTTTTAATTGACTTACGGTTCAGTTGCTAGTGTTTTCTTTTCTTTTTTCTTTTTGGATATAAACAAAATACATTTACATAAAATATTCTGAATACATAAAAATAAACTTCTTGTGATAAACGACAACAATAAGAGTGCGGAGATGAGAATTGTCAAACTTCAGCTTTTAAGTGTGTGTCTGTGTGTGAATATTGTTTGTCATTTTAGAATTTTGTAATGAAAATATATATTTTTTTCTTAAATATTTACATATGAGATTTCGTTTTTAAGATTAAATGTATTAATCTGAGAAGAAAAGAAAAACAAGTGATTGGTAATTTAAATAATCTATAATAAATTTATATATGAAGTGAAGGAGTTTGGGAGGAACAAAGTTTTATACCCTGAACATACTATGGTGGGCATATTAATCCGGCCTGTAACTTCTCGAAATACTCATGCTAGACCCTGCAAGTACATGTATTCCAGATAAGGGTCAAATTAAAAACGAAACGAGCCACATTTGGAACGTATTGAGATAGAAGGCTAATAGTTAGCACACATGTGTATTTTATCAGTAGACCACTGTTCCTCCCGATATTCGTATTCTGACCTTTTAGATCACATTTCTCAATAGAATTGTTTACAATTCGGCACAAAGAGTTCGTATTGGGTTCAACATCATGTTACGGGGGAAATCAAGCAGAATATGAAAGTAGAGCCAAAAAAGAAGACGCGTGTATCGGCGTTTTGAAAGTTTACATCGTAATATAACCCAAATAAAGGGGACCCTAATTGACCCTAATTTCACCCTTTCGGAAAATTTTCTTCAAATTACCAAAATATGGTTAAGATCTTCAGGATAACTAAAATCTGGGGATAAGGGCTATAACAAAAGGAGGACCCACATTTATATATTTTTTGTAAATAACGTTTCTTCATAATAACCAGTAAAGAAAGTGCTAAAGTCGGGCGGGTCCGATTTTATGATACACTACACCACTTTGATAATTTAGTAGAGCTGCGCATAACAATTAAAAGTTTTTATGGGAGAATTCAATCATACACGCTATGATTATAATTATAATTTAAAGTTCAAAAGACTAAATATGCCGAAGCATTTGTATCTTTTAAATTCGGAATTGTATTGCCCATTTGGTGCACAATTAATTTGAAATCGGATAAAGATATATATGGGAGCTATATCCAAATCTGAACCGATCTCGATAAAATTTGGCAAAGATATTTCTGAGCTGTATTTAATATATTTCCCTGAATATCGTTGTTACGGAGTGCATATTACGGTTGTGGGTAACAAATATAACAAATCGGATGAATAATATATATGGAAGCTATAGCTATATCTGAACCGATCTTCACCAAATTTGACATACTAGCTTCTAGACTCAATTCGGTCATAAGTGCCAAATTCCATCCCATTTGGACAAATATTAGACGTTTGGTGCACAATAAAAGGTAAATCGGACGAAGTTATATATGGGAGCTATATCCAAATCTGAACCGATCTCGATAAAATTTAGCAAATGTATTTCTGAGCTGTATATGATCTATTCCCCAAATATTGTTGTTGCATAGTGCATATTACGGCTGCGGTGGACAAAAATAATAAATCGGATGAATAATATATATGGAAGCTATAGCTATATCTGAACCGATTTCGATCAAATTTGGCATACATATTTTCATGCCTAATTTGGGTGTATATGCAAAATTCCATACAATTCGGGACGATAGTACGCGTTTGGTGCACAATAAAAGGCAAATCGGACGAAGATATATATGGGAGCTATATCTAAATTTTGACCGATTATCTCCAATTTCAATAGGGTTCGTCCTTGGGCCAAACAAAAGATCTTTGCAAAATGTCATCTGGATCGGGCAATAAATGCGACCTGTACTTTGTTTACGGACGGACGGACGGACGGACAGACGGACGGACGGACAGACGGACGGACGGACGGACATGCATAAATCGACTCAGAATGTGATTCTATGCAGATCATCAAAAGGAACTATGGGTCTATCTCGTTTCCTTCTGCCTGTTACAAACAAATGCACAAAGACATAATACCCTGCCACCTAGTGGTGTAGGGTATAAAAAATCAAAATACCCAAACTTTAAAAAAATTAAAGGGAAAACATGACTAAAATGTAAAAAATACTTAAAATCGGAGCTATCCCATACAAGGGGGCTGCTCCAAAAAAAAAAAATAATAAAAAATAAAAAAAAATAAGTATCCAGCTTTAAAAGAATTATTTTTTATTAAAAACCAACGTTTACATATTTATGAGAAACTATTTTTTAATCCAATCCGTATAATTTGTTAAAAAAATATTTTTTAAAAACACCAAGTTTATATATTTATGAAAAACTATTTTTTAAAAATCCACACAGTTTAATTTGTTGAAAATATATTTAAAAAATCCACGACCTTGATTTATTAAAAAATATTTAAAAAAATGTTTAAAAAAATATTGAATTTTTTTTTTTTAAAATCTACAATGTTTGAATTATTGATAAAATATTTTTAAAAAATCTACACTTATAATTTTATTGAAAAATACCTTTTTTTGGAACAGAGTTGGCATGTTTGCAACAACAAATGTTTTAAATCCACGATGATGAGTTTATTAAAAATAAATAGTTTTTAAAAATTGCACGTTGCTTGATTTATTGAAAAAATATTTTTTAAAAAATTCAAGTTGTTTGATTTTTTGAAAAAAAAAAAAATTTTAAATCCACATTTATAAATTTCTAGAAAAATATTTTTTTTTTTTCAAAATTCACGTTTATA